ACTGTGGTCGCGGTCTCGCGATCCCTTCTTTTCACTGCGCCCGCCGTTTGCCGGCGGCGGCGGCTGTTGTTGTTGCTGCTGCTGCTGGTGGTGATGATGCCGTGCTTGCGGCTGCTGCTGCTGCTGCTGCTGCTGGAGCTGTTGTGTGTGAGGAGTGAGCGGCGAGGGGCAAGCGGCGAGACATGAGTAGCTGATGGAGCGCAGGAAGGGTTATCACGCCACGGCAAGCGTGATACACCGGGCGTGGTTCCTACAACCGTGCACTGAATAGTAACACCACGTCGCGCTAGCGGTCGTAAGAATGAGGATGGCGACGCAAAAGGATGCCAAAAGTGCAGATGAGGAAAGACACAGGCTTATTTCAGCCCTCGATCGAGGTACCAGCCCGGAACCGGTTCGACTTTGCCGCAAGGGCAAGAGACAAAAAAGAAAAAAGCGCCTTCCAGACAACAACACAGCGCTGACGAAAAAACAGCAATCGAAGCAAAGCAGCGCAAGATATAAACACATGATCATTCCTGTCGAGTGGGCGTTCTGGTAGAAGTCCTGCTCTCTATTTCTATCACGTCAACGGTAATTTTGCAAGCCCTTCTCAACAGTGCTAACAATAACGACACCGGGCCTGTGTTATAACTAAGAAAAAACCAAACAGACACCGAGCTGAGACCAAAGACGCCCATCGATGGGCCGGCGGTCACATTTCCGGCTTCTCGGGGGCTCACCGGAGGCCAAATTCACAAACGAAATACTACCAAGTACAAAGAAATGAACCCCAACTGCCGGACCGGACCTGCTGCGGGTGATTCGCGTTCATCCCCATCATCTGCTGGCCCATGCCGTGCTGCTGCCCCTGGTGCATGCCGCCGCCCATGCCCCCCATCTGCATCCCCCCTCTCGCGCCGGCCATCATCCCGCCCCCCCGACCACCACCCCCTCCTCCCTGAACCATCCCCACGTGCTGCTGTTGCTGCATACCCCCCCCGAAGCGCATGCCACCAGCTCCGCCGCCACCAGCCCCGCCCGGCTGCTGCTGCTGCTGCTGCATCATCATGCCGCCGCGGCCGTACATCCCGCCCCTCGCTCCGGGCCCGGAGTAGCCGTAGTTCGGCTGCCCGTTCATCATGGGCGCGCCCATGCCGTTCATCATGCCGTAAGGGATCCCGCCAGGCATCCCGGCCCCGGCGGGGCCGGCGCCCAGGCCGTACGGCGCGGCGGCGGCGGCGGCGGCGGTGGGCTGCACCTCCGCCGCCGTTGGCACCGGGAAGAAGGATCGTAGAAGGTTCTCGCTCTTGAGGCGGGCCTTGATGGCCTTGCCCTCGAACGTCTTGCCCCGGAGGGCGAGGATGGTGGTGAGGGCGTCATCCTCTGACTCCATCGTCACGAACCAGGTGTCGCCGACGTCGCTGCGGATGGACTTGATCGGCGCGACCCCGTCACCGGTGAAGATCTTTCGGATCTTTTTTTTTTCGAGACGAGTTTTTTGCGTTGGGGAGAACAGCGCNGGGGGGGGGGGGGGGGGGGGGGGGGGGGGGGGGGGGGGGGGGGAGATACGTCAAATTACGCGGGGAGGGGGACGGTGTGCTACAGGCCTTGAGACGGAGACCGATCGCAGTAATAAGCATAGCCATGGTTCGCGACATGAAAAAAATAAGGTATGTAGGAACACAGGACCGCCGTAAGCCCACCAGTCCGCCCGCTCTGATATGGCGGTAGCTGCAAGCACGCCGTTCTCAGCGCGCGGGGAGCGCACGCTTATTTCCTTCCCCGGTGCAGGCAAGTTAACCGCCCCACCTTCTCTTGCGGAGTATCCGAAGGGATCTCGCGCAGGATGATGGTGTTGCGCTCCTGCTTAATGCTGGGCTTGATGCCGTCCGGGGTGACGGTGCACACGGTGGAATCCTTGACGCTCTCGACGATGAGGGCCGTGTCCGACGTCAGCTGCTGGATCTTGTGGAACTGCGCGATCACCGCCACCGGCACGCACATCTGCGCGTTCATCTTGGAGACCAGGAAACCGTCCGACTGCAGATTCTGTTTGGAAAAGTAGAACTCGACCTGCGATTGGCGCAAGGGTCGTGGGGGATGGAAGGGCGTCAAGAACGCAAGTGGTGTCGAAAGACGCCATGGTTTGTGCCACACGGCCTTGCGAGGAGGCACCGAGGGGAGTGCGGAGGATTTATGTCTCGTGCGGGGGTAATGCTGTATGGTCGGGCAACCCCACACAGATGTTGGGAAGATGCCCACAACTAGGCAGTGGCATGTTGAAAGCAGGGTTCATGTCGACAACACAGCGTTTTAGTATTTCCCCTTCGCGCAGGCAAGCAATGCTCCGTGGGATGGGCACGATGAATTCAGCGCGTGGGGGGTGGGGAGGCGATGCCCTAAAGTATTGCCCAATGACCGCATGATCGTTGCCACCCCGCTCCAAGAGTCCACAGCATTGTCTCCAGGGGAAGACGGCGCAATTGTCCGTTAGTCTTCCCGCATTCTCTTCATCTCATCCTTGCCACAAAAAGCAGACTCCAGATTGACTTCGATACGCTCTTTTGCGGGAACTTTCGCCCACAACGCCTTGGACTTCCTCTACACCAGAGCCTGCAAACACCGTGGGGAAGCTCGCGATAGCCATTCGTTCGCTCAGTCTACACACCCCTGGCAGATGCCGCTGCCTATGTATTCCGAATGTTTTGGGGAATGAACGGGCGCGCGTCGGTCACTGCGCTCGGTGTGGCCGGGGGTACAGAGCATATCGTACGCTTGAAGCAGAAAAAAGCAGCAACTATCGGCGATAGCACCAGGAACAAGCGCGGGCGGCGTCTGGAAACCGATGCGACTCCGACAACCCCCGCGCGTTGGATGACATGATGTGGCCAACAATCATCGTCTTCATGCCATCTCACTCCACAGCCACGAGCACGGAAAAAAAAAATACCCAACACATCGGGGTAAAAAACCCGCCCGCACGACAAGGCCGGCGAAAATCTCCGCCCCTGAGAGGGAGCATGTGCGCATAGCAAAAAGAGAAATTTGTGGGCGGAACAAAGCGAGAGCGCCCCCACCTGCTTCTTGAGCGCCACGAGTAGCTCCTTGCCGTCGAGCTTGACCTCGGGCACCACCGGGGGAGTGGTCCCTTCCGCCGGTGGCGCCGCCGGCGGCGGCGAGCTAGCCACGACCGCATCGCTTGGCCCTGCCACCTTGGCAACAACCGTGGCTGCTGCTACTTCGCCTGCTGCTGCTGCTGCTGCTGCTGCTGCCTCCGGAGTCACCCGTGGCACTTCCACGGGGCCTGGAGAACTCTCCATCCTCGTGCCCGCCACGCTAGGCCGGACTCCTTAGCGGGCAGGGATGCTGTTGTTCGCTGAGTGGGGGCTAAGATTTGGGGGGCTAAGAGATGTAGGAAGGGCACGTCCGATGTCAATCTTGGATCTGACTCGCCCGGGCTTCCTGCTCTCTTTCTCGATCGATGCGGGGAAGCAGCAGGCCGTTGCGCCCCTGAACTACAGCACTGTCCTGGTTAGCGTCTACACCCCTCCTGGCGAACCGATTGGTCAGATGCCACGGACGTTTAGGAAGACAGCGAAAGACAGCGCGAGGCAGGACGCAAATACACAAAAAGTTAGTTATGGTTCAGCTTCGCCAAATTTGTATGGTATTTTGTCTAGGATACTGGATTTTCTCTAGATTCTAATGTGTGGTGGGTTGATGCACACATCAAAGAAAAACACCTACTTCCGCCGCCGCCGGAGACGCAACCAGCAAGACCTTGCAGTCAGGGATAGGGGAGAGCTAACGGGCATGACTCCCTAACAGCATTGCGGGAGAAGGGAAGCGTACAGCGATGTACCGTTGTGGCTCGTGTTCATATTTCTAGACACGCGTGACGTGGGACGCGTGTTCGCGAGTGCTTGGTCACCTTGAATTCAGGCCTCAGCAAAGCCACTAAAAAAATCGACCTCCGTCCAGCTCGCCATCGCTGGCTACTTCATACTGGCCGGCCACAACAGCCTCTACGCACACCAAGTGTGGCACACGGAATAACCCCCGGGGTGTTTACAGCTCCGTACGAGGTCGTCCACCCCCTACGCCAACCACCACAGCTCCCTCTAGCGACTCGCAGCGCTAGCTACCCTAGGACTTGTTTTTGATGTGCTGTGTCTGGGGTTAAGCTGAGGTACAAATTTGTTGGCCGCTCTGCCTCGGTGTCCAATCACATCGTACCTCGAGATGAAAGCTTTCCGCTCCTGCAGCTCCGCTCCTGTGAACCACAATTGCCGAGCTCTTATCCTTCCTCACCCGCTACCTCCTTCGTAACTTGTAATTTGCTTCTGCCCAGCACAGCAGCGGAGACAACCTTCCTTGGGTTGGCCCCCCCCCCCCCCCCCCGTCAAAAAACAATTTGTTTATAGGATAGGGGGTCTGGGGGGGTCGCCAAAAAAAAACATGCTGGATTCAGTATTCATGTGCAGTGTGCAGCATCACGGGTTTATGCATGATCGAGCACCAGCAGTGCTCGTGATCCATCTACCCTGCTCTGAGTACCCACGCGGGGTCATTCAATCTCATTCTACGTTGTTTTCTCCTCTGAATGGGTGTGTGTATAGCTGCCATGGGTGCGCGGGCTATGATGTGTACCACATGCTTTAGGCGAGGATTGCTCATTAACGATCAATCTGTTTGTATTTGACTCGGGGAGGTTGAGCGAATGAACCCCGCGCTGTTGCATCCGTAGTCTCCATAATCATACCCTGAAAGGCGCTGTGAAACCTCACGTCCAGAAGACGGGGTGAGCCACAAACTTACTTCGTTTTTTTTTGTCTTCACTTCAAATTAGCGCTCACAGTCATTAGTATTGGTGCCGTTTACTCCACCCCGTGGTCACACAGTCGAGTCCCTCTCTACCCTCCCCTCCTGCGGTACTTTTCCTTGTGCGGAGGCGAAACAGCTGTAGGACGCGTGACTTTTCCTCTCGAGGAGACAACAGGATGACTAGACTATATTGAAGAATCCAGTCGGTGGGTTCCGAAGAGGTGTCTCACTGAAGTTAGTCGCAGGTGTGGCACATGCTCTCCTGCTCAAAACGAGGGCAGTGTTGGGCATGCGCAGTCAAAGGAATGCCCTCAACAAGAAAATGTTTTGCATTCTCCGTGTTGTTTTTCCGTTTTTTCACAAACAGGACAGAAGGCCAACAATCAATCGATATACGCGACCCCGGACTCTTACGAGCGACGAACCAGCGTGATGTGCAGAATCCATAACATACACACACCTTCGTATTCGAAACTGCTGGACAAACATATTTCAAGCATCTACTTCAGTACGTCGTATCTTGCATATCGTCCGCGCCCCCGAACAGACCTGGCCATGCCACTAATCATCTAGTCATCAGAGGGCGAAAATCAACGCTCACGGAGTTTCCAACCAAACGAAATGATCACGAAACTGGCAAAGACAACGCGAGCGATAAAAAGTTCCCGAAGCGCCCTCGACAATGTGTTACGAAAGTCATTCAGCGCCCCACGGCCTTACATCTCTCCCATTGCACCTGCTAGAGAAATCGGGACATGGCACACATCTCCACGTGTACGACGTCATCAACGGCGTGGCTCAGCAACGCCCCGCGCACTATGGTACAACCAGGCCACTGTGCACTGACGGGGACAAACACTTCAAAACAGGTCACGATCCTATGGCTCCTGGCGTAGTCATCATGTCGTTTTGTTTTGCGACCATACGACAAGCCATGGAATAATAAAACCACGTCATTTTTCATGTTCTCGATAGCAGATGCCCTCAGGAGGACATCCTCGGCCCAGTAGCAATAACGTCTCATCTTCAACCTGTGACACGACACACATTAAAAGGAAACGAAAACAACAACCACGCCTACTGTTGCCCCGGCTCCCCTACTGCCAACTTGTCGGGTGCAACGTAACACCTCCTCGTAAAAAACGTGCGACCCCACCCGCTGTTAAGAAATACAGCCCCCTTGCCTAGCGCGGACGACCAAAACTTGACGCCTCGGAAATAACTGCGAGCGAGAAATACCAGAAACCTGACCTCCAGGCTGCAGTTTTCTTGCATGCGACACCGGAGAGCTTCCTTCCAACAACCAAGAACTACAGACACACGCACCTTTTCCAACCACAGACTCACCAACAAGCACGCCACCTACGATATTTTCTATTTAATATACGCCGCGGTACGCCCAGGTGGTGGCATCGCTCCTCACACATGGGACCACCCCCCGTTCCGCGCACAATCAACGTCCGTGCTGGGCGTAAAGGAGCTAGCGATAGCATCACCACAGCCTTTCGGAGAGAAGGAGGAGCAGGCATACCTACTTCTCAGCACCCGATTTCGTTTCCGCGCATCGAAGAGAGACAGAGAGACAGAGCGCGGACAAAAAAATCGCTGTACAACCCAGCTTCGCTCGACTCAAGACACACATACTGTTTTCAATCGCACTGACACTGACGCCTCTTCATTGGTCAGCCGGTCGATGCTTACAAGGGAACACACACAAGCATCAAGCGAAAAAGAATAAAAATGTGTTGAAACCACGGGAGGGGGGCAACAATACACCGTGCTAAACACACCTAATTGTTCGCACACAACACAACTAGAACCCAACGAAACAAAACTAGCTGGCGCACCCTTGTACTCGCCACGTCGGCGGGAAGATGACGTTATGCTGCGCTTGCGTGCGTGCCCTCTGGTCGGGCGAGCACTCGGGAGGCGCCTCGTTTATGCGCCTCGCTTGCATACCGGCGCTGCATGTGTACGAGACCTTGAAACCGCAACCCACGTTTTACGAGACCCGCAGACTAGAAGCAAGAAGAACAGCCACCAAAGCAAAGCAAAGCAAAGCAAATCAAAGCAAAGCAAAGCAAAGCAAAGCAAAGCAAGCAAACGAAACAGTCAGTCGCGAAGCGACAGCTTGGCGGCGATTACCCCGCAGGCGACGCTGGCCAGGAAAAACAGGCCCAACACGGCCAGGTTCTCCGTGCACAGCGCCGCGAGCTCGGCGAACGCCGCCTCCAGCCTCGGCGCCGTCGCCAGGAACAGCCCCCCCTTGCCAAAAGCCTCGCTCTTGCACATGGGGCAGAGCGCGCTCTTGCCGGACAGCCACGGCCGGATGCATTGCGTGTGGAACGAGTGGCGGCAGGGGAGGCCGGTCAGGCTGTCCCCGTCCTCGTAGGTTTCGAGGCAGATCGCGCACAGGTCGTCATCCTCCCTTCTCATGAAACCGTCGTTGCCGCTGCTGTTGTCCTCGCTGGCGGCGGAACCGGTGCCGCTTCCGAGAGAGCTTGCTGCCGCGGTCCCCCCATCTACGGAGGAAAAATCGTCACCACATGTTTGTGATGCGGCGGCGGCGGCGGCGGCGGCGGCGGAGGCAGCAGACTCACCCAGCCCAGTGGTCGCGTCCGCTGTTCCGCTCGCCGTACCGGTGTTGCTCCTGCTGGTGCCGCCGGGGTCGGATTGGTTCCCAAGGAAAGGAGGAGGAGGTCGTCTGCGAAACGTAAACGACTTGAGCTTTCGCATCGCTCTCGTGCGGTAGCCACGTTGGTACCTGCCGTGTGTATGTCGTTGTACGAGCAAGGGCGAGGACATAGTAAACACCTAACGAACGGAAAAAGAAAAAATGCGCGCAAATCCAACGAAAAACCGTAGCTGATTTTCACGCCCACGAAATTTCAAGGTGCCAACCCAACTCTACGCCGCCGTCCAGGTAGAGGTGAGTCAGTTTATCCCATCTTGTTCATCGCTTGACAAACAGGTGTCAACGAAACCAACGACCAACACAAACGGCCACGTGCGCGAACGTCGATAGCCCGCCTTGCGAAGCGTACACAAAGCGTCAAAAACCCTTGAAAAGAAAAAAAGTATCCAGCAGCGCGGTAGAGTTCGAGATCTCCAAAAGCACGAATGGCACTGACACAACATGAACCCACACGGTATCTTCGAGAGCCCCAACGATCTTAAGAAATAACTGCTGTCCCCTCACCACGTAAACCCCAGGGCAAACACCAACCCACACACGCCGGAAAATGCCAGCAGGAGCACCGACAGCAGCAGGTAGATGCCGAGCATCTCAAGAGCCCCCACGGGCCTGGCCGCCATCACGATGTGCCCCGCGGCGCCGACGCTAGCCCGCAACCGGCCTTGGCGGCCCGGTAACCAGGAACGATTGCTCCAGAGGCGTTCTCCCGTCGCATGCGAAACCAGCACCGCCGGGATATCGATGCCCTGCGTTTCGATTTTTATTTTTCATATATACGGTGCCGCAGGAGGGGTGGGTAGGGAAAAACCCTTCTGTGTGACCACGGATCGTCGCAAACGGCACAAGTGCTGTGAGCGCCGATCTGAAGTGAAGACCAACAAAAATAAAAATAATAAAAATACATGCTGTTTCCGGTAGGTAAATAGCATCGACTGCGTGGGCCGACTCATAAACGAATGACATGGACGTTACCTTCCACGGGGCAAAACACAGAAAAAGAGATTTAGTACGTCGCCCGGGTTGTGGGCGTGCGAGTTTTTCGTCTTGGTGTGCATCGCGGGAAGAGGGGAACTAGCGTGGACAGACAAGCAGCGCTACGTGCGCATGAGCGCAAGGATGCGGGACGCTCGTGTATACTACTGGTGTACGTACGACACGTGTCTCAAACACGTGCGAGCAGATAAAGCCAATGGAGGTGGCAAACACGCGGGTGTCTCGGAGGCGTTCCTTGGCTCGCAACAGCAGCCACTTTGCAACTTGCCCCCTCCCCCCGCTCCTCCGCCAGCGCCTGGGAGTGAGACCGTGTGCGGGCGTGGGGTAAAGCTAACAAACAGGTGGGCAAGGATATTGGAACGAGCCCTGTTGCAGTCTACATGGGCAAGCGGCTTCCTCTCAGGGGTAGTTGGTGCGTTCTCCGAAAACCCGTCTGCGAGAAGCTCAGAAAAGCTCCCAAGCGCTGTCGTTGCTGCTGCTGCTGCAGCTACCGCTACTACTCCGTGTGCCCAGACAACACAACGCTTGCTCCAACAACGAGGCATTCCGTGCGCTTCCTCCCCGCAGCAGTGCGCTACGAGGGTGTGGCGAATCGCCGCCTTTCTCAGACCAGAAACGTCGGTTCGGCCCCCCGTCAGCCCGTCCCGAACGGAAACTAATTACGCCGGCAGGATCGGCAGCCATCTCCGGCACAATATCTCAACACGCTCACCCGTCAAGAACCCTCATTTCGATGCAAATCGCTTCAGAGCCAACAAAGAATGACCCGAGCGAAATAACAATCTTCACGTAAAGGACCGAGTAAAAGCACGGGGGAAGGGAGAGGAGTGAAACGTCTCACCTGGGTGTTCTCCGGATCGCCATACATGACCATCAACCACTTGTCTGTCGCTGGCGTGTCCGTCACCACAACCGCCGAGGCTCCCGCCAGTTGAGCGTGCAACACCTTTGCGTCAAAATTGGCATCTACCATCATGAATAGTATAAATAATGCGTTCAGTGGGTGTTTTTTCGATGCTTGGGGTAGGGACGGGCGGCGGCGCGGCAGTTCGGCGCAACTTCTAGGCATCGTGCGTTGAGGATCGGGACGAGGTAGGCCCTACACACCGCGGGGAAGAGAGTGGGTTCGCCGAAAAACAACAGATCGCCAGGAGGGTACGTTGCCCGCGTTTTGTGTGTAGCCTGCTGGGATCGTGCGCACTCCTGTTGTGTTCAGCGCGTGCTTGTTACTCTCGTGCTACCACGGATTTCTAGCGACATACGCCAGCGGGGATGGGGAAGAACAAGGAGAGGGGCGAGGACGCACTATTGGGCGGGGAACCACTTGGATATTTCCGAGAGACTTGGCACAAACAGATCCGTCCAGAAGGGCAAACCCGTATTTTTCGCCGGCAACATGATACGGGCAAGACACGACAGGACCAGCGCACCCCTACGGGACCGGACAACGCGGTGGCGGCAGTATTGATCGCGCGTTACAAATCACCTTCTGAGTGAAGTTGCATGTCCCCCTCTCCACCAGCGCGATTGCTCCCTCGTCCATGGCATTGTGGAGCGGCACGCAGCCATCCCGGGGTTTAGCCCGGACGAGCGGCCGCGATTCCACCGGGGGCTCCGCGCTAAGCACGTCCGGCCCAAACGCCGCCGCGCTGAGAGAGAGGGAGGCATTCGGTGGCAATAAAGGGGGCCGGGATTCGGCGTCTTAAAAAGATATTGCTTTTGGTTCGTTGCGTGGGTCCAGAACACACGGTTGACATTTTTATGCCCGGTATCCAGGTACTCAGAAGCGAACTTAGGAGAACAGGTCGGGCTTTATAGGCTGTGCACGTGGGGGCGAAGGCGAGCTGATGTCCACTGCAACGTGGCTTAGAGATTCAACAACTCTAACGGATGGACACAGGCGGATATAGACTGATGTTAATGGCGAGGGGAGTGCGCTGTACCTTCGGAACGGCTATCGGGGGGGGGCGGTGCGGGGAATGAGCACGGGCAAATCGCCGATCGTGTTTTTAGTAGCGCAGACTCGGAAGCACAGACAAAATAGAGCAACCATATACCACGACAGAGCGGGGTTCGCCACACAAGAAAAGGACCGGGCCACTGCAGTCAGTTGCAGGCTGGGCGCGTCAGGTGGACACAAACAACCAGGAGCACGAGATAAAATCGTGTCGCACGCACCGACAGGGACGGAACCGGGCACGTCGCAAGGACAAGGCCAGGCCCAGGGGTCATCGACTACAGTCCACTCACAACACACGACACGCAGAGACGCAGGAAAACGCGCACCGGCCGGTGAGCAGAATGGGCAGGCGAACAAAGAAAAGGAGCGTTGGGATTGAAGTAGACCGTCATCCCCTTTGCGACCACCCCCGAGGCGCCTCAAAGTTCTGTGGGGAAAGCAACGTCACCGGGGAGTTGTTCTGAAAGGTTTGGGAGCGATCGTTGCACGGGACGGGAAACACCCCCCGTGGCCAACATATCCAAGGGGCGTGGGTTGCTCTCTATTGTCCTGGTCGGGGCATCCCCTGGATACACACACGGATGTTTCGCTACAACACTGACTTCTTTTCAGCCTGTGAGCATGGCCAACGCTAAATCAATCACACGCACACGAACACACGTAGGTCGGAGAGAGGGGTGGCAGTGTGTTGTCCAGATAAGCTACAGCTTGAACTGCTGTAGCCCGTATTCGTACACTGCTTTGACCTCTCTTTCTGTACGCTTGTTTCTGGTGTCTGTCGATGTTGTTCAAAACTTACTGTCGTCTCTTTTTTTTTGTCTGATCGTGCCTTGTTTCGAAACGCGATGCGGGCTTTGTTGTGCTTGGTGGTTACGGCAAGTTTCGGAGAAACCAGTGTTACGTGATATCAATGCGCAGGAGCAAGGGTATTGCTTGACGGTTGGTGGTTCTTGTGGCGTACCCCGTACGGCGGTATTTAGGCGTTGCGACAGCGTTGACTCAGATCTTGGTCGACAGGAGTACCGACTAATCAACAAGCTGCTGATGGGTGAAAGTGGATGTTGACCAATCAGCTCGGCTCATTTGACGCTGTCAAATAGTATACACCCAGCTGAGTCGCTTTTCGACCAGGGAATATGTGGCAGCGTATACATTGTTACAATTTGGAGGAACAAAGAGGTAAAAGGGAAGGGAGCAGGTCCGATGCTCCTTGCTTGGTGTCGCTTACAGATTGTTGCTTTTCTTCAAAAGTTATCCTCTCCATACCAGGCCCGCGTTCCGCATTCAGTGTGAGTACGGGCATTAGAATCAATTCTGATCACGATAACCAACGAAAAAGACAAATATCCATGTCACGCTCCTACAACGCTCATAAAGCGCTTATACACTACAGCAGTAGTTGCCCCATCAATTACAATACCCCGGGCTATTGGGAACACGGCAGGGTGAACGTGGGCGGTGACCAATCAGTATGGACAAACGACACAACAAGGCTACTTTTCTCCAGATTTCCGAAAAGTACCCTGATCTCGCGGGAAATAGGATCCTTTCATCGGCCATTTCTTCTACAGAAATCCACTTCTGATCTAACCTATCGAATACAGACCATCAACTCTTCCCGCTCGAAACAAGCAATGCACACGGCACAATTCGGTTGGGCGAGCAATGAATGGTATGAATTGATGATTTGAGGTACGCCCAGAACGCGACCGATCCAGTATGGTTGAAGCAGCATGCTTGACATCTCCAAAGCGACGCATGTGCGGATGGATATGTGACGGCGATCTTGGTGGCGGCGAGCGGTGGAAGGACACACACACGCGCGCCGACCGAATCACCATTGAAGGCATGAGACGTGCTACCTATCTACAACAGAGGTTTGACGCGCTGCACAACGGAGGCAGCAACATTGCCGGAACGCATGCCTTCGATTGTTGTGTGCACAACTCGGGCTGGGGGGACTCACGGGGAGGGGGATGAAGAAAACAAACCTGGCGTTGCGATACAGCAGTAGCCGTGCAGTTGTAGAGGTCCCGGCTTGGCGGTCCATAGTGTAACAAAAACTTCATAACCGCTAGTGAGGGCATCAACGCTAAACCGGATTGGAGGTTAATAGTCTGACTGCCGACGTGCACCTGTGCCACGAGATTTTGGAATCGCTATTCAGGGCATCCCGCTACACAGGGAAGGAACCGCTGAACCGGAACCACGACTGCTGTGAATGCAATAACGTTGCTTTCCGTCGTAAGCTGGAAACATACAACTCTTGTAGTGCTTACCCCGAAATTTAAGTTGCTGCAACTTTCTGCGACGACTGTGAGCAAATACCTCTTGTTCATCCCTCTACTGCTGTTGAAGGTGAGTGGATTGCGTGAACCCTGATGCCACCTTACATAGATAACCGTTCGCCGTCTGAAAATGAACCAACGACATGCAACAGCAGCGGCCGCGGCAGGTGTCAACTGCCCAAAACGCCGTTTTACACGCGGAGACGCGGAGGTTTCGTAACGTCGTCAGTCGGCAGCAGAGAACAATCGACGCGCTAAATACCGACTTGTTCATCCGACGGATATTATCGCGCTACTACCGCGCGAGAAGATACTAGCAGGGAGAGGACGTGTGAAGGCTAAGAAACATAGTTTGTATCAAAGCAGCAACCCACACACACACACAACTGGCACTCACACGTGGTCGAAGGTCGCCTGAAAGGGCTCCTCGATGACAAGCCCGATCGCCGCGTGACAGAGACACGACAAGAGTGTAGCCACGAGTACCGCCGCCGCCGTCGCCCCTGCCGTCGGCGAGGCAAACCAAAACGCGCCTCCTCCTGTTACCGGGCGCGTGGCGCCTCTGCTACCGCTGGGACGATGCCGCCACCGAGGACATCGCCCGGCCCGACCAAGGCCATGTTGGTGTTTGTCTCTTCGGGACGGGGGCTCTTCGATCCTCATCTTTGAGTTGTTGGTGCAGTTGATGTTGTTATGGGTGGTGCGCTGATGAAAACCTCTTGGCGCTGCCGTCGCTGACGACAAGGCGGTTTCCACCATGGTTTCTGGTTAGCCACCCAAACCAGGCGCGACTCGCGTGCTGCCGTGCTGCTCGGCCTGCCGCTGCTACGCGTGTCGCAGGGTGTGTGTGTCGCCAGTTTCGTGGGGGGCTCCGTCCAATCGCGGGGTCTTGACCGTATGCTGGGTTGGCCGGATAACAAGAGGGGATGGTTTCGACAGGTCCGCAGGCGCTCATGATAGCGCTGCCGCAGAGGGAACAAGAGAAGCTCACGCGAGGCCCTCGCTCTCCCCCCGTCGCTCTCCCCATGCAGAATCTCCGCCGTCCTCTCATCGCTTACTGTGTGCTCCACCTGGCACCCTCGAGTGCTTTCTTGCTTGGGTGCCGGTCGGTGGGACGATTTGCTGCAGAGCGGTGCGCCGGTCATCGGTGCGGTGCAACAAGCGGCACGACTCGGTGAGCGCGACCGACACACCTCCATATGACGCTGCTGCTACCTCCTATCTACTTGAGGAGTGTAGCTTTTGGTGGTAGTCACGGGGGCGTATTCATGGTAGAGCGTATTAACACACAGTCTATTGATCACATTACACGAGCCTCATTTACTACACGGCATTTGTCGCTGACCGGCAACATGACCAGCACACAGCTTTGCCGTGGTTGACTTGCACCCCCACACTGAGGACAGATCGTTTGTCCACGCGCCCGTTCCGCCGGACTTCCACTCCCGAGCTGATGGCAGATAGTTTCTTTTGGCTGGTGCTGGTCTAGATATGGAGGGCATGCATTCGGTGTCGATTTTCGCTGCCGATTCTACACGTACCTTTCCTGCGAAGGGTCCGCGGAGAACATACCACAGCAGGACATTCTGGTGCTGCCCAACGTCGTCTGCCACATGCCCTCGGGTGCCCTCTCTGCCGATGAGCATGGCACGTGGGATCTCTCGCCACCACAGAAACCCGGTGCGCGTACGTTAACTTTGACGAGCTGCATATGCAAACGTACATCACTGTAGAAACGATGAGAGAAACAACACAGAAGATGCCCGAGTCAGTTGGACTGACCAATACGCATACAAGAAGGTACTGAATAGAGAGCGCGGCATTGTTTTTCATGAAGCCCAACCACAACAACAGCAACAATCCAAAAATCTTGAGTCCTTTCGTGCCGCCGTGTTGATATGTCGACAACCCTCTTTCCGTCGCCTGCGGGACGATGATCAAATCAAGGCTACCGGGCGGGACCAGCAAAGCAGCTTGCCGCGTTCGTTCGAGCGGACACGTGAGGCTTCGAAGCTCTTCTGACGAGAGCAACTCCGAGGGAGAGCCCTGGGGCTGGAGCGCCGATCAGTCTGGGAGAGAAGGAGACGACCGTGGTGGGGCTGGCGGTCCCTGGGACGATTCTTCTCAAGACAAGTAATTGTACTCAATTTTACTCCGTAGGCGCGAGAGGGGGGTGTATATATATATCTGCAAAAGTTGTTTCTGAATAGCAATTGTTTGTGTGGCAAGCACTTGCGTCGGTTCTGCAGCTGAAGGTAGAAGCGGTGAACAGCAGACGACCCGGCCGCTGACTTGCGCCGAGATTCGAAAAGGGTTTCAGACCGTGTCCCGAACTCGTTGTACGGTGCGCAGAAGCGCACCTTTCAATTTGAAGAATTGAATTAGGAGCTTTTAAATGGTTCCCTTGCGCAACCTTTGAAGTGTTTGTGAAGGCCGGCGACGGGAAGATGCCTCGTTCGGTCTTGCTCAGAGATTTTCGCTATCGAACCGGTACATTAGAAGCCGCCAGTAAACACTGTAACGGTGCAGTGTTGTGGACCCCCAGCAGGGTTTAAAAGTACTGTATATGAACACAGATGAGCACCAAATGAGTGAGTGCGAACTCGGACAGGTCGTTGTTGGTGAACCTGGTGTGTAAATCAGTAGCACGCGTCTTTCGCTGTCGCGCCTGTGCTTCTTCGCGTAGGTGGGAGGCTCTCTACGCCGAGGGGGAGAAGGAGAAGCAGAGTTCCACCTTCCTCAGCGCAATGGCGGACTGGGGCAAAGGTATCGGTGGTTGCGATGCGCTTGTGCTACCTACCTTGTGATCCGAGCGAAAGTTTTATCTGTTTTTTTGTGGGGAAAGGGAAGCGGTGTAGCTGTTGCGTGGCACAGCAGTTATCTCTGCAATTTTTTCGATCGTATATCCGGGGGTGCTGTGGTGGATTTGGTACGCCGCCCGGCATCCGGGCGGCGCATCCTTGCAGCCCTGCTCTCTTGGTAGGGGCCGTGCCTCCGAATCGAACAGGTGTCGTTCCTTCGTCCCCCACGTGTGCACATGCGGACAGGCGGAGTGCTGGGCGCGGTGGACGTGGAGTACACTCAGCCCGTGGAGGTAGTCTCCTTCGACCTTGACGACACGTTGTGGCCAACAATGTGAGATTGTTTTAGCCAACGTAGCGGCAGGGCCCTCCCGAGCGCTGGCCCCCGAAAAGTCGGGCACATATCGGTGTGCGCTGGACGCCGTGGTTGCTGACCTTACCTGCGTGTGCGGACTGTTACCTTCCTCGCTTGTGGAGTGAGGCTTGGAGTAGGTGCCGGTCCACTCCTTGGGTGGTACTCTACCCGCACGCGTCCACTGCCATGTAGAAGCAAATCGTGAACCACGCGTGAGAAAGGTCTTCCGAAAGTTGCCCCCAAAGCGTGTCGCGTGCACGTGCCCGTGTCGGCTTTGCGGAGTCACGGGCTTCGTAGAGCTCTGGCTCTGCCGCCGCCCTTCAGAGGTCGGGCGCCCAAACCGACGGCGGCTTCTCGCGAAGGAGAGCGGGAAAATACACAATCCCCCCTTGGCGATAGTTTTTCATTTTTTGTCCGATAGCCCGACGTACTCCATCCCAAGATGCCCGATGACCACGATGGCCCTTGGCACATCATTGCTCTTTGAACAGTGCTTGAACATCACTGGAGAAGCCCCCCCCCCCTCATGCACGGCTTGTTTTACAACGTCGTTGCCAAGCGACGAAAACCCGGTATTTGCTATCGGGGTTGGGTTTTCGTCGCTTGCCAACGACGTTGTAAAACAAGCCAATTCACTTAGTGAACTCGGCAACCAGGTTACCGTTTTTTTTTTTTTCCTCCGTTTTTTTTTTTTGCGGTAACCATAATGGTGGTCGAGTAGATCATGTTGTGCGGGGTCGAGAACCCTCGCTCCGCGCAAGGGGGATGATCGCACCACGTTGTGTTAAAATGGTCAAGCACCCTCGAGGCAGTTACACA